TTTTTGTATTATCGATTTCGACTGAAAGAGGAACTTTTGTGGATTTCGAAAGCTTTATTTAATGAATATGCTTTTCCATGCTTCTGATCGTTTCTTTCTTTATCTACTGCCATTAAAACCCTTTCGAACTTAAGATGGAAATATGGCTTATTTAAAGAAATTGAACTCAAATACCTGAACCGTTGCGAAGCAAGCATCACTGAGAAATAAGTTAGACATTGCATTCAGCAACAAAAATAGTCAAGGTAAGAGTTAGTGACAGAGCAGTATCCTTATCCTAAAACGCTTCGTAAGGGATCAACCATACTGTGTTATGAACTGCTGGCAAGAAACCCACCGGGCAACAAATAGATGGTGGTTTCAGATGCGCCATTTTTCGACTTATACCCTACGTGTGCATTCTGTCATTGGATGAAGCTGTTTATTGTAGCTGTATATTAAGCGTCAGTGAACCAGCCTTTTTCTGCGCAACGGGGCACTGAAACAAGACTTGCTGTTGTTGACGCCGCCGTGCTATAATGCACATTCTTACTTAACATGACAAGGAACCTCTATAGTTCAGTACTTCAAGCGGCTTGTCTTTCACGTCTGACGCGACACAATTGGAGCAGGTGGCGTTGCTTCAGATGATTTACAACTTTGGCATGCAAGATCGTAGTGGATTTTTTTTCTAAATTTAACGATATGGCGACATTTCTAGCGACGCCCATACGAGTATTGTTGTTTGTCAAGATTGTAGATGTAATTGTAGAAAGATTTTATATTTTCTCTTATATATTTTCTTTCCTGCTTTTAATCCGTTGTTGCCCACTCGAGTTTGGTTCTCTTATGCAGCCTTACTATATTGACAAACAAGATCTTTTGTCTCCAGTTGCAATTACCCCACTGGCCGATCGTTTTCTAGTTCATAACAGCTGGCGTTGCGGATTCAATCCGTAAAGATTCAGCCTCGTCCAGTGATGGAACGCACTAATGTTGAGTATTACAATATCTGTATCTCACATGCATAGTCACACCCAACGGATTTGCAGGCATTATTGTCCATCTTTGCTCCTAAAATCTCTTGACGCCATTTAATCAGGCCCTTTTCGGTGGTATTTCAGCATGTAGCATAGTTCTTTTGATTGATCAGTACCGTGCTTGCATCATTAGATATGTCCCAGGAAGTTTTCTTATGAATACCCTGACGCAACGCCGAAAGTGCGTTTATACGCCGGAAATATGGTAATTGCATAAATGAGCGAAATGATTTTGCAGTGCAGTAATATTGATGCTTTAGAGCAATGAAGTGGTGTCGTTTTGCCTGCGACACAGTTCGAAACTGTGCTTATTAGCATATATATGTAATTCATTTACTCCTGTTTATGTCGAAAAGACGTTAGTGATTTTTATGACCAGGCTTGTAGCACAATCTGGAGTCATTATTACGATTAACATTGAAAACGAACATCACGACTTGTGCGCAACTTCTCGGATAATCGCGAGACGTGTGTCTTTATCAATATTCGAGGTAAAGATAAAGTTAAGTAATTGATTAATTGCTAAATATCTTTGCTCAGCAGAATCGAATGTGTAATAGCCGCTGTTCGTTTGATAGCGCGTTTGGCAAGGGATAAAATTTAATGCATTGTTCCGTTTCGCGAATGACGCTTTACGTTGTTTAATTATATTTACACTCTTACCTTCACTAATTTTACACCTACGGTTCTACATCTTAAAGTGTTTTAATTTTTGTTTATTTTAGAAGTATTTATTATACTTATGTTGAATTGTGTTACCTATGTTATGTTACTGCCTGTAGGCTTTCGTTAATTGTTTCCTCTGGTGAGTACGTTGTTTTGCTGCCTGATGTGTCGGCTTGATAATAAAGTTCCCTATCCGTTAAAATAATTCTTGTTGCCAAGTGATGATTTTATACACTTGCCGTGTTCACCTGTTTCACGTTGTCCTTTCATAAGGTATTGTATTTCCAGATATATCCTCGACAGTTATAACAGTTACGACATAAAGTTACTTGCATTCAAGGCGACGGTGTAGACCATGTAGTTGTAACTGTTGTGAAGAAGGTGCATGGGTCAGAATTGCATATCTGCATTGGTGAATGGTGAAAGTGATTTGAAATCTCGGCGCTTTGACCGTTTTTTAAAAGACTCAGCATAATTTGCGGTTCGGGGTTAGAGCTACAGCTATAAATTTTTGTATTATTTAGTTGCCAGACGTCGTTTTTGCCCCTCCTCGTTACTTTGTAGGCGCTTGAATTTTTCAATACTTGAGTGTTAAAGGTACTTGTTTAAGGAGGCGGACAGACGAGCGGAAGAGGAGCAGATTCGACTGGACAATATTCTGCACGGCAATCCGCTATTGAATCCGTCCAAGCAAGATTTCACGGTTAAACGAAGGTCAGCAGATACGGCTTTGTCTTCCACTCATGTCACTATATTATGATGTTTCTTTCGTAGGTGGGACGATGACGTGGTATTCAAAAACTGCGCAAAAGGATTGGACGATCGTCAACGGCGCGAACCGTCGTTCATCAACGATGCACTACGTTCAGAGTTTCACAGGAAGTTCATGGAAAAGTATATCAAGTGATGTGTGTGCTCGACCGACGTTTCCGGTCGTCGTGTTGTTCAGTTTAACCGTACAGCTGGTGGAATCAAATATTTGTTTACACCATTATACTATCAATTTTAACATAATCTCGACCGAATTGCCTTGTCGGAAAGAACCTCTTCCTTCAGTGGCAAGTTCTGACTTCGTTTTGTACCAAATGAAACTTTCCAGAAGCACTGAATATCGTTTTTTTTGAAAACTTTCAATTTTGCATTGTGCGGCTTTGCGGCGATAAAAGCACACGTACATTAGCCGATTGCAATCATGCAATATGCGTTTTTTTTTTACAATATTTGCATATATTGGACTATTTATTTTCTATGCGACAAGCATGCTGGACGATCTACTGATATGTTCGTGTGAAGATCATCTTAATTTCTTTAATTTTCCCTCACTTTTAGATTACATTTAATTCATTAAATCGTCTGGCAATGTGAAAATCTTAAAATTTTTTGAGATACCTGACCACCGCTTCTGTCTTGTATGCAGGAACCATATAAGATATATGCAGGAACCATGTCTGCTGTTCAGGTTGAAAGAGGGCTGTCTGAATGGTTCTCTATTAAACGTGGAGTGAGCCTGGGAGATGCGCTTTCGTCTTTGCTAGTCAACTTATTGTTCTCTACGTTTTTCTCTGAAGCATTGCATTGCTCATCCTGGCAAAGAAAGATTATTTCTAGAATAAATGCGTAGTTCAAATGTCAGGCCAAATGTTTTGTTGATCAGCGGTATGCAGATGATATTATCCTGATGAGTAGTAAAGGGAACTGGCTTTGTCGCCTGACGGTTTTCGTATGTAAGACGAGTGCGACAGTCGATCCCTCGCTTACCGTCCGAAAGTATGAGGAACCCATCTGGCACAGTCTATTTAGAAGTGCAACAGAGAAGTGAAGCCCTTCATGAAGTTTACCAGTTTAAGTTTATTGGCTGTATCATCTCTAGCGATAGCACTATCCAGTTACAGTTAATAAATGGGTCTTCCTTGCATGGAGTGCTTTTTAGAAACCTGTATAATATTTGGGCTGAAAAAGGAGTAGTCCTTTCCACAACAATCCGTCTGTTCGTTTTCTCAGTCTGATCAGGGTTGTTGTAATGCATGAAGACAGTTTCAACGATAGAACCACCAAAGAACTTACACAGCAGCGTTTGCTTCGCCGTGTAATGTAAGTTAAGTGGCTGGATCATGATTAAAGAAAGGAGGTTTTTTTATTAGACAAACTAGCTGAGGATAAACCATTTACTCCAGCCAACGAGTTTCACGTGTTGGAGAAGAAACACAGCAGACGTCTAGCAGGAGGCATGAATGCAACATGGAGGAACAAGGAAGAGTCAGATCTGCATTTGGAAAAAAATGTTTCCTTCTGTGAGTCAGTAACCAGTGCCATATAGCAAGCACGTTGAAAAGCTGGCGAATTCAGCGAACGACACAAACTAGAGGCGTTTTGTAGATGCAAGCAATACTACAGATGGTTTTTACAAGCCAATGATAAACATCCACCATTGTTCAAATGTCACTGAATTACTATCTGTTTCAGATGATCTCAGCAAGGGGAAATGATATGCTTTAATTTCATGCACTTTTTGCTCAAGTAGGGTAGTTCGCCTGTACACTCCACGTCAATTTCTCAGTTTCTATTTTTGTGAGAATGACCGTAACACTGAGTGAAGATGTGTTGGTTGAAAAGGGGGGTATTTCCGTGGTCCTTGCCAAAGGTGTTCATATTCTACTCATCAGCGCTATACACAAACGTGAAAATCGTTGTGAAACGCTGTGGCATTCAGTTTTCTTTAGTTTGCCGTGAAGCTTCTATATAACGAAAGCAATTTGTTCTCGATATTTTCGATGAATGGAGTTGTTTGTAGGCTACCATCTGCTCTTTATTTTATCAAACGGTTTGAAAATTATTTCAGAACCTTTCTATATGAGAACTATTGACCGACCAAGGACGCTCTGAAAGACAAAGAGTACAAGGTATAAGGTCCTCAAGAGACATCTGACGTTGCATGTGACGTTTGTCGCTGCAGTGAACAGTTGCGTATCATAACTGAGGCAGTATTTCAGTCAGCTTTCAGGCTGCCCTGCTGTGCAAACTGCTTAAATTACGTTTAGCGCAGCAATATTAGCGACAAACAACAGTTTCAGGTTTAAAGGTTTTTCGCACAACAAAACAGAAGCAATAACAAAGCTGTTTACTTATACTCAACGCAAAAGATTCTGTTGTCGGTCCGGTAACTGACCACAGTATCTTTTGTGTTTGTATAAATACTGTGCTTTACGCTATATTTTCAGTGTGACCATCAATGCACGAACGAAATACTATATCAAGGTAGAAAATCAAGCAGCATCGATATTGTTCAAATGAATGAAAATATTGCATCTGTTATGAGTGTAACAGCTCAACAACGAAAAATACGGTAATGGTGCGCAATATCGTAACCTGAGATGCAAAATGATCAGAAAGGATTCTAATCATTGCCTGTATAAGGCGATAGATGTGTGCTCATGTGCTACGTCGTCATGATGTACCCTGAAAATGTGGACCATTCTATTTATTCCGTCTAAATGCTTTTGTTCCTTTCTTTGGACTCCTCAAAATTATCCGTTTGGACACTTCTGAGTTTGTTTGAGTGGCATGCACTTTTGATGCTTTGCACAGACGGTTTCCCTTTTCTTCCTCCAGTAGGTACATGGCATCTGTGTCCATTGTTTAAATGGGACGTTTCCAGGCCTTTGGCGTTCCTTCAGTGGTAGTCGCTTACGGCTATTCACTCGGTTGGTGCTCATTCTCCGTACTTTGTCGAAGATCATCGATCCTTCGTGACAGTCCCACATTGGATGCATGTCGGACATTCACTGCGTTAGTGTTGACAGCCATTAACTGTGACAGTGTTAAGCTATGCCGCTGTTTGGCGTTACTACCGGTGGGCAGAAACTATCAGTGCTATCTAAAATGACAGTCAGTTTTCAATCGATTGCGTCACTGTACATGCACCTGGTCAAAGAAACCTTCAACATCAGCTTTATTGTATGTTTAAAACCTGTACCACCACGTACCTTTCGGTATGTAACGTGTGATAAATGAAAAATTACATTCTTATTTTCTGTTAAGTACATTGGAGTTGCACCTTTGTGAAGATGCAGTTCGTACAAAATGAAAATAACGAATTCTGTGGACCTACCGTTCTGAACAATAATTAAATTGAGGGCAAATCTTTCATCCAATGCCAAAATGGCATATAGCGTTGATTGCTGAGCGGAAATGTTTTTTATCGAGAAAGCATGATGACGATTGATAAATCCGAAGTGGCAAGAAAAGTGCTTCCAAACAAGAAGACTGATAGTTATATGCATCTATATAAATTCACTGGCCATATGTCCTATACACTTCCTTCTGGAAAGGGACAAAAAACAGACGCATTTTGGTAAATGATTAATTCCATAGAAATTGATTCCGGTACTTCGCTACAACATTACATATGTCGACATTCAGTGATTCGATCGCTTTATAATGATAGACGGAAACCTTTCTGGTTTCAAAGCAAGAGTAGGAGAACACAGTCATCTGGCAGCCAATGACAACCGTTCTTCAATCCCTCCTTATACAAATTACCGACGGCTTCAGAACCATGTTGAGAGTATTATGAAACACCCGCTTTCACTAGAAACAAGCAGAATAGAAACTGCTTGTTTATAAACTCCTACACTGTAACGTATTCCCGGATCAGGAGAATTGTTCATTCTTCCAATCACCGATTCTTGGCTATTGGCGTCTGATTTATAAAAGGGGAATACATGCTGTACTTCAGGATTCCCCCCCCCCTCCCGTTTTATTGTAGAACATTAGATCACTCAGTGATGGAGGGATGAGTCATTTTCTGCGAATCAAGCTTTGTCGCCTGAAATAGGCAGTCTCTAAGGAATAGTATGAAATGTGCATAAATAGGAAACCGTAGTCGAGACAAAATGTCATATCTCGTCAGGCATGTGGAGGCCAATATGCCTAAACGGGAAACCCTCTCATGCACGCCATGGTTATCAGTGGACTCCTCATTTAGATGCATCCATGGCCGACGCGCATTCATCAATTTACATTTGTTAATAAACACATGAACTGCTTTGGTCATGGTAGAACATTGTAAATATCTGCAACTAGGAAGGTAGGATATTCTGATGTTCTGACAGCGATTGATTTTCTTAGCCCCGGTCTTAATATTCAAATCTTCTCTGGCGGCTTCACTAAACGATCTGATTATTTCTCTCCAATATCGCCGAAATCCATCAATAAATCTCAGCAATCGTCTTACGTCAAAGCTCATACGAATATGAAAATTATCACGTTCATATCGTCAACCACATCAACCGTGCAAAGTAATAAACCCCGAAGTCTGCTCTCACAGAGACTGAATGCAAATACAATGGCTGCTCATCATCACTGGCATGCATGCTCAAATAATATGTTCATTGTCCGCAGGCATTATAAATCAGGCGCCGCATCTCGTTTGAACTCAGTTGCGGATAGTTTAGTATATATGTAAATTATGCATAAATTGATCGTCGATTCGCCGGCGTTTACGTACCAAGGAATTCGAAGACCTCAACTGCGAGGCAATTCTTCAGTTCTTGTGAAGGTGTCAGAAGTAGATTGGCGGTGGCAGAAATCCTCTCCTCCGTCTGCCAGTCGACTGAACCATGCAGACTTCGCAAAACTCGTACAGAAGTTGCTGTCAAGAAACAGTTCTTGAGAAAAGATTCGAAATATACGCCGAGAAACGTGTGTGCAATATGCTGTTTCTAACGACCTGGATGGAAGTTCTCTTACGACGGAAGCGAGGTGAATTTCCTCATATTGATTTTGGTTTGTGCTGCAGAAAGTCCAAAGTGGTTTGCAAGGACTAACAGATGGGACATTCCTCCTTTAATTTCATTGCATTACAAAAGTCTTCACTCCACGGCTTTTCTCTTCATTAACTGAAGAAAC